CGTGCCAGCCCAGGGCAACCTGCTTGGAGCCGGCCGGCGGCGTAGCCAGAAAACCCGGGCGCGCCGCTGGGCACCCTGGAACTTGTAGTCCGGGCTGCAGGCTAGGCCCGCGCACTCGTATACACACGTGCGAGCCCAGCCCGGGCCTCCGTCAGCCTTGGCGCCAGAGCACCGCCCCCGCCTGCCTTGGCCCCAAGTCCCTCCTCCACGGGCGGCGTGTCAATTCCTGGGACTGCAGAATCTCGGCTCCCTGGCGCCGCCTGCAGCTCCGGGACATCTGGGCGAGCAGACTCTTCCAGAGCGCGGAACGAATTCGGGGAGGCGAGCGCGGATTCAAGGTGTTTTGCAGCCAGAGGGACCCGGGATTGTCTCGCCGCTCTTACAGCTCACCGCGCTCCCCATCCCGCCCCAGTCCTCAGGAGCCTCGGGTCCTCGCTGGTCACTGGGAGATGTTAGGTGCCCTGAACGAGTATATCCAGTTGGGCGACCTCCCCCAGACCGGTAACCTCAGAGGGAAACCGCTCTGGATCTAGGGCAGACAGGGAGGCGCGGGTGCAGGCAGAAACTTGGGTGCCAAGTGCTGCTCTTGGATGGAAGAAATGGGATGATTTTCTCTTTATATTTCCCTAATTCTTTACAGATTGTGAGGATGGAGTTTTAAATACTAATATTTTAATCTTTTTTTCTATTGCTGTTAAGATTTTAAATATATTTTTATTTTACATATACATATTGTTCGTTTTATCGTTTTGCAGCACTGGGAATTGAACCCGGACCTCTCATGGAGCTACATCCCCAGCCCTTTTCATTATTTATTTTGAGGCAGGGTCTTGTCTTGCTAAATTTGCCCGGCTGGGCTCCAATTTGCTGTCCTCCAGCCTCCACCTCACAGAGTGCTGGGCTTCCGGGCATGTACCACCACACCTAGTTTTAAAGTTACTTTTGATGAGTGTAATTAATAATGGCTATGAATTCCAGCCCAGCCTGAGCAATTTAACAAGACCTTGTCCCCAAATTTTGAAAAAAAAATGAATAAAAAGGGCTAAAAGGAAAAGCCATGGACATTTTCCCACCAGTTGTGACCCCCACATTCTTCTGTGCCTCGAAATTAGGAAACCCACTAAATCTGTTTACTGTACAAAACCTTCCAGATCAAGGGGCATTCAGCCTCTTGAATAGGAAACCTTCTGCAAACACCAGATGGACCAGTGACCAGACTCAGAGCTCAAAAAGCAGGCCTTTAACTTCCTCGTCCCCCCCCCCTTTTTTTTTGAGACAGGGTCTCTATGTAGCTCAAATTGTCCTTGAACTCACTATGTAGCCTAGGCTGCCCTCCAACTTGTGACTAATGCTCCTACAGTGCTAGGATTACAGGCATGGGCCACCACCCCTGGCTTCTCAGTCCTTTTAACACCTTATAGGTAAACCCTTGCTCTTTAAAAGTTTGTTTTCTGTTTTGTTTTGTACCAGGGATCAAACTCAGGACCTTGACTTTGCAAGGTAGGTACCTGCATTACCCCTGAGCCAAATCCCCAGCGTACTCTGTAAGAGAGCACTGCATTTTTGCACTTTGGAGCCAATGGCCTTTTCCAGGTCATTATCTTAAATAAAGCATGTCCTTGCTGCAAGCTTTTCTTTCTCCTTTTATTACAAGGGCTGAGGATCTAACTTAGTCCCCAGTACCACAGTAATAATAACAGTAGTAATAATAATAATGGTTATATTTCAGGGCTGAGGTGTAGGCTCAGTGGTAGAACACTTGCCTAGCATGTGTGAGGTCCTGGTTTCCCACCTCAGCCCTGAGGGGACGAGTAGATATGCCCCCCCAAAGTAGATGCATTTTAGTGCCAGGGAGTAAGGAGTCAGGGTCCCAAAGAAGACCCAGTATTGGCCTTGCTGCCTGGGTGCAGTGGCCCCTAGAAACTCCAACTTCTTGAGCTGTATACTAGGAATAAGGCCTATCTGGGTTGCAAGCTTTCCCAAAGAGCAATAACCCTGGGCAACTCTAGACAAGAAATCAGATCCGGAGGAGGATCAGCACAGGTGCCTGGCAGTGAAGTAGAAACTGATCAGTCCTGGGAGATAGGACAAGTGGGACAGATCAGAAGCCAGGGACCAGGAAAGAAGGACCGGCCCCCCGCCAATATTTCAGGACCACCAGCAGGCCCTGCACCCCTGTCCCAAAAGGATCAGCAGGAGTAGTTCAGGCTGTGAGCCTCAGGCCCTCAGGCCAAGCTCAGCTGGCCACGTATCCCTCACTTCCAGTAACTCAGCATCATGAGAGGGGCCTTGCTAGGCTACGGGGAGCCAGGCACCAGCCAGCAGCTCCTTGTGTCCTCATCTCCCAACAGCTTCCACCTGCATTAACTGGTGGGACAGATGAGCAGCCAGGACTGACCTGAGGTCAACACCATTCTGAGAGTTGGAGTCTCTACCTGCATTTGGGTCCAGGCCTGATAGGTCCCCATCTGCAGTCTTAAATGTCAGGAGGATGTCACTGATTCCTGAAATGAGATGTGTGGCTGAGTTAGTCTCCTATTGGTGCTGCATCATTACCACAAATGTAACAGCTTAACCAATACCTCCTCGACATCCTTCAATTCTGCAGGACAGAAGTCTGACATGAGTCACTAAAATCAAGGCGTCCTACCAGGGATTTAGCTCAGTGGCACCTCCACCAGCCTCACAAGCACAAGGTCCTGAGACCAAGGTCCTGAGTTCAATCCCTGGTACCAAAAAATGAATAAATTAAATGAAGGTGTCCTCAGGGCCGTGCTCCCTCCTGGAGGCTCTAGGGCAGAAGCTCTTTACAGCTTTTCCAGAGACCCCCCCATGTTGTACCTTGGCCCGTGGCCCCTTCCTCCAGCTTCAAAGCTAGCAGCCCTGGGGCATCTTTCTTCCATTTCCCAACAGTGCGGCCTTTCCCTGTTTTGATTTTCTTTTCTTTGTTTTGAGACAGGGTCTCCCTACATAGTCCAGACTAGCCTTAAACTCATTATGTAGTCTAGGCTGGGCTCAAACTGGACCACAATGCTCCTGCCTCAGCCTCCCAAGTGCTGGGATTACAAGTGCCACCATGCCTAGTCTTTTTGTTCTTTCATTTTGGTACTGGAGACTGAACCCAGGGCTTCACGCATGCTAGTCAAGTGCCCTACCATACCACCCAGCTGTGTCCCCAGCTCAGCTGTGTCCCACAAATTGCCTAGCCTATCCTTGAACTTGCAATAATCCTCCTCCAGCCTCTAGAGTAGTTGGTATTATAGGCCTGGACGGCCTTTCCCTCTGACTTGCATCTGTCTCCCTCTTCCATTCCAATCTGACTCTGAGATTACATGAATCCGCCTGAATAATCCATGATAATCCCTCTGTTTAAAGTCAGCTGGGCTGGGCGTGGTGGCACTCAGGAGGCTGAGGCAGGAGAATCAGCAGGAATTCGAGTCCAGACTGGGATATATAGTGAGTTTAAGGCCAACCCAAACAGCATAGGGAGACCATGGTGGGTCTTCCACCCCCAGAACCATGCTGACTCAGTTCATCTGGTTGGTCCAAGTTGACCTTTAATTAATCCAGCATGACACCATATCCAAGGATTAGGATGTGGACATGGAAGGCCTTCATTCTGCCCTCTACACCTTTCCTGGCAAGGTCTAGAGAGGGAGATGCTGAGAGACCACGGGTCCCAGCCAAAAAAAAGTCTTGCTGCCTAACTGGGAGGTGGCCTTCCAAAGCACCCTGGATACCCTGGCATCACCTCTGAAATGCCCACTTGGTACCAGCTCCTCCTCTTACCTTCTGCTGGGACTCAACTCTGTTCTCATTTCAGGGCCTGGATAGACAAAGCTCCAGCCCATAGTCCCTTATGACCTGGTGGGGCGGGGCCTGGGCGAGGGCACGCTAAGTCTTGGCAGGATCTGACCCAGGATAGAGAGGACGTCTTCATAGAACCTGACATCGGCCAGGTACTGAAGGGGTGTGTAGGGCATTTGGAGCCTTGAAGTCTGGACTTCGGAGTCCTCCAGCAGGGCCATTGCAGTGAGTGTGGTCAGCTGAGGAATTTTAATGCTGAAGAGGGGCTTTCATGCAGAAAAAAGCTACCTATGGCTGCCTGTGTTTAAATTAATGCTGTATTTATTAAACATATAAATTTTAAAAGAACTAGTTTTTCGTAAACATCCAAGAGCAACTGCAAATTTAGTTTTCTATTTATAAATCTACTAATTTTTAATAAAAATAAGAACAATTGCTTTCACTATTCTTAGATTAATATTTAATTAACTCATAAGTTCAACAGATTAAATTCTTCTAAAAATGAATGCCAATTACAAACTTAGGTAATTAAATTCCCTAATAGATTTTAAACTACATTTCACAGAGTTGAAATACAGTCATCAGTCCCTAAACACCTTTTGCTGTTACAGAACAGACTTACACACCTAATAGGCACATTTTTTTTTCTGGATCATTTAAGTAACTCTTGCACATTAATAGACTAAACTATAAAAAATGTGGTGGTGGCTGAGTGTGATAGCACACACCTGGAATCCTAGTATTTTAGAAGGCTGAGGTAGGAGGATGGAAATTTTGACCCAACCTGGGTAATTTAGTAGGACCCTGTCTCAAAAAATAAAATAAAGGGGGCCAGGGATTTGGCTCAGTAGTTCTGCCACCTGCCTTGTAAATGCCAAGGGCCAGAGTTCGATGCCCAGGACCAAACAAAAATAAAATAAAGGGCCTTGGATTTAGCTCAGTGGTGCCACTGCCTGCCTTGGGCCAGAGTTCAATGCCCGGGACCAAACAAATAAAAATAAAATAAAGGGCCTGGGATTTAGCTCAGTGGTGCCACTGCCTGCCTTGGTCCTGAGTTCGATCCTCAGTACCAAATAAATAAATAAAAATGGAGGCAGGCATGGTGGTGCACTCAAGTGCACCTGTGATCCAAGCACTCAAGAGGCTGAGGCAAGAGAATCCCCACAAGTCTGAGGCCAATCTGTGCCACACAGTGAGACCTTGTCCCCCTGCAAAAAAAGGGCCAGGGATTTAGCTCAGTGGTGCAGCACCCGCCTTGCAAGTCCAAGGTCCTAGGTACTGGAAAGAAAAAAAAGATATAGTTTCAGGCCAGGGATTTAGCTCAGTGGTACCACAGCAAGGTCCTGAGTTTGATCCTTGGTACCAAAAGAAAGAGGAGTGGGGGACGGAAAGGGGTTGAGTATGTAGCTCAGTGATGGAGTGCCCTTGGGTTCTATCCCTTGTACTGAAAGAAAAAAAGGGACAGACACCTGCCTGTCATGTTTAAGGCCCTGTGTTTGATCCCTAGCACTGAAAAAATATTTTTTTAATATGTAATATCTTGTAAACATTCAAATGCTGTCTCTGAATTTAGATTCCCTTCCACTGTTGCATTT